AATTAATCTTTAATTGTTTAGAATAAAATCTACTGACTGGACTGTTTGAGGCAAATATGTTTTGTTAGGGCTCGTGTTCTGCCCTCCCGAGGGGGGAAAAACCCAACAAAACAGTTGTGAGTAGAGAGCTTTGTAACCAACTGCTCTTAACAAAAAGTTAGAGTTTTGAAAGGAAACCTCAGTTCGTGTTTTGTTACTAAATTATAAGTGGATTTTTCTTGCTAAATGCTATTCTGAATCTTCTAAGATGCATTATCTGGATATTAAATCTGTTGTTTTCCCTTTGAGCCTCCATTCTCAACTAGTTTAAGTACCTGACAGTAAGAACCTCAGCACACCAGATTCTTGTCAGCTTGTATAGCTTCAAGCTTTTATATTGAAGCTTTCCTTGTACAGAGTAAAAAATAGGGAATGCAAATATTTTTTTGTCCTATTTAGTCTACCTAACACATTGGCTAGAGGGTTTGACTAGTATATTCCAGAATAATTCATTTTAAAAAGAAGAAAGATGAATATTCCTCAGTTTTGTTGAAAAGAATACTTCTCTTTGCTAGCTCCAAAATATTTTTCCCCCATACAGTTGTGATTCTTCCTCCTCTTCAGTGAGTGTTTGGGGTGCTTATCCCCTTTGCTGCTTGGTTACAGGACACAGAATCACACAGCAAACCCTGCAGTTCACAAAGGTAAAACTGAATCCAAGCCCGTGCACGAGGGATGAGGTTTTCTGTCATTGAAAGTGGCAGCATAGCTTTCCAAAGTAACAATAGCTGTTAGCAACAAAATAAATGCCAGAAGTAATACTATTTAAAAACTAATCCTAGTCAATATTTGCAGCTGAGAGTATTAAAGTGCTTTATTCCACCCAGAGCTTTCAGAATTTCTTAACTCTGCACTGTGACTTTTTTTGAAGAGTTTGGGTAGAAGCTGTGTTCCTGGGGGGGGGAGAAAATATGAGAACTTCAAAACAGTTGCTTTAGCTGTAAGAGGAAGAAAATATTTTATACGTTCTTTGAGGGTACAAAATAAAACACAAATACCTTGTTAGCAGTTAATTTTAGTGATCTACCTAAAGGAAAAAAAAAATTAAAAAAACTCTAATCAAACACAAAACTGAAGTCTCCCCTGGGCTACCTGCAGCACCCACCTGCAGGCATTGGGCTGCAGTATCTTCTGCTGGCAGAAGGCAGCACCTTTCAATCGTTGGTAAATCAGCCACCTCTGTTCTGAGAATAAGCAGCACTGTTCAATATTGCAGGTTCATCAGGAGCAGGGCCTCTCTCCCCACATCTCTGTGTGTGTGTATGGTCCGTGCTGCAGCCAGGGTGTCTGGTGCAGTCCCATCAATAACTGCCCCTGTGCTGCTGCAGCAGGCACTGATGGAAGAGTGTTCAGGCAGCAGCAGCAGAGAGGAAACACAAACTCCCACAGAAACCTCCTCTGGCAGCAGTTAGCCAAACCTGGTTAGCAAAGTCTGTTCCTTGGTTCCACAACAGGTACTGAAGGAGGTCAGTGTAAACAACCACCTCATCTTCAGTCGCAGAGAAACTGAAAGGATCTCCAAAGGGAGTGTGTGCTTTTCTGCTCTTCTGCCACCACTGGGGTACCCCACACACTGCCCTGGTGCTCTGAAGCACAATTCAGGCTTTCAGCAAAACATATTCAGTGTTGTTACACCATAGAAATTAGTAGTTAAACATGCTTTTATTGAAAAAGCCACTTTTTCCAGCCCTTCAAATATAACTATTGTCAATAATTGAACACAAGTACTTTTCAAAAGTAGATTTTAGTATTTCAACCTTTAGAAATGTAATAAGTAACAGAACACTGAATTACAATGTATATTAATTTAATGCAGTGGAAGTTATTGTTAGAGTAGTGAAGACTTCTAAATACTTTCAAAATCATAAATATATTAACTCTTCCCTTTGAATCAAGTAGCATTAATTTAAAACAACGACAACAACAAAAAATACCCACCAAAAAAGAACCAACCAACATGGAGCCAGACTTTGGCACTTCAAAACTACTCAACACAGTCTGGAAATAATAACTGCAGAGACTTGTTTGCTCTTCATGTTTGAGTCAACTGCTAAAGGGCAAATGTGTTTTTGCTTCCACTGCTACCAGCTGCACAGCTTCTATGTCTAGGTAGACATGTAAACACCCAGAGAAAACATAAGGCAAAACCTATAGTCTTGTGTTGCATATCTCAGACATTAATAGGTGGCAAATGGAAGCTGTAATAGCAGGTGAAATCATAAATAATTCAGTTAAATATTTCAGGAATCAGTCTTAAATGCCTTCACAGAGGAGGATTAAGATAACTGGATGCACAGTGCAGCTAATACAGGGGAAGACTTGTGCAGAAGATTTCTTTCTGACACCTGTTTTATGACATACTATTGCTTTAAAACAATGTGCTGTCTTAGCTGCAAAATGCAGCTTCAGAGGGGAATTTTTTCATTTAAGAGAGAAAAACAATTCTGAATTGTGGTACAAACATGCAGGAGTCTCTTGCTAAGATAGGAAAATATCACCAGGAGGCAATTAAAATACTGATGGGGTTGTTAAAGGCAATAGGACTAGCAGGCTTCCCTTTGGTTCAGTGTTCCATTGAATGCCCTGGATTTGTACTTAGGGAGGCACAGCCAGGGTAGGGTTAATTTCTAAAGAAAGTGAGCACTCAAAGTTTGCCCCACCTTAATTTTTTCTTTCAAGTCTTGCCTGCTAAAGGAAGGAGAATAGTTCTCTAGTCAATGTGCGTTACCAGCAATAAATAGCTGGTGGATATAGGATCAGAGCAGCTGCAAATATCCAAGTGTTGGATGCTGAAAACTATTCCTAGTATTTCAGTGTTTTTGTATACATGCTCCTGTTGCCATGAGGAGTCATTTAATGTAGTGGACTGAGGTGTTCTAAGCCTATGTAGACCTAACAAAGATAAAGCTACATCAGACTTTAATAGAACAAGCATCTGGTATTGGGTTGCTCAGCTTGTCTGTACACTTCTCTAAAGAGTTAGGAGATGAGATAATCTTGCTCTTTAATAATATTAGAGTTGCTAATGCTTGGTAAGCTTTGTGCTAGACTGCAGAAGTTATGAAATACTTAAAATGAAGTTTACAAAACTGTATGCAAACATGCATGATTGAATTCTTACCCTTGGCTTGGCAAGGCTTGGATTGTACAGGCAGAGCTATAAACAGAAGTTAACTCAGAGCTCCTAACAGAAAGACTCGAGTGATACCACAGGGACAGGGGACTGATTCACATTTCAGATATAAACCACAGTGTGACTGCCCCAGGTCACTCCCATCCCAGGAAAGGGTTTCTGCAGACTGAAGTACCTTTTCAGAGGGTGCTTTCTTGTACGAACTACATCCAAATCTCATTCAAGAGAAGAGAGATGAGGTTAATGAGCATAAAGGGAGATGGCATTTGTGCTGTGGTTTGTATCCTTGTAATCTCAGTCCCGCTGTGTGGGAAGCAAAGACTGCTCTCAACAAAGCTGCCACATGTGACTGCCACACTCAACTGCTGAACACAGCTTCTGCTCTGCTCACGTCCCTGTTCCCTGTGGGTTTGGGAACTGACGTTTCAATCTTTCAGAGGACATCAGTGGACTGAAGCTTGGCACAGTGTAGGAGCAGCGGGGGTGTCACAGTTCTGTGAGGTCTCAGTAGTGTTGGCATCTCCACCTGCTGAGCTCTGCTGGTCCCTGGAGGAGCTGGGGGCCTTCCCGTGCCCTTTGTATGAAGTGGGGGATTTTGCCCAAAGGGGAAGGCTCGATGTGAAGGTGGCAGAGCTGTTCCCCTCTGCAGTCAGAACCACCAGCTGTTTGTCTGGCACGGCTGGAGCATACACAGCATTTTGCTCTGACAGGTGATCTCCACACTGACTAAGGTGTTCTGCCAGGACCAGAGGCTGCTGATCATCCCCTTCTTCAGAAATAACAAAGACTGGTTTGTTTTTATCTGTTTCTACCATAAGATCCTTTGTTTTTGAACTGTTGACCAAGTTGATTTTCAGTGGGTTGGAGCTCTCTAAAAGATTTTTGGGGCTCTGGCTGTTAACTGGAGATGCTGCCCCTAGATGTCTTGAGGGATCCAAGGACCTCACATGTTTGCTGTCAGGGGAACTGGCTAAAATTCCAAAATAAGGGTTCCCAAATCTGGATTTCTTCAAATTGCAGGAAGTTAACTTCCGCTGCCTCTGTGCAGACAGAGTGAGGGGATATGAGGCATTACTGGCAGATGAATCAGAGTAAACAGTCTCTGATGCTCCCTCTATCTCAGTGGCTGAGATTACCTTTCTGGTTGGCACACCTTGGGATCTTGCAGCTGTAGAAAAACCCTGCACAAAATAGTACAAAATTAGTAGACATGCCATGAAAAGCAGATCCCAAGAGAACTAAAAATTCCTGGTTATTTTAGAGGTAAGATGCATTCTTTAGCAAAAACTTATTACTTTAAAAAGGAAGAAGCATCCTTCATTAGCTTTGTAAAAAGCTCTTGGTTTGATGACTGGAGTCAGTGAGACCCAGATATCCCTGCCACACCTACAGATTCCTTGCAGTGCAATAATAACACATCAATTATAATAAATTCAAGGCATAACCAGGGGGAGAAGAGCACATGTCTGAACACTCAATGAGATAATCTTGTCTGAAGGCATTTTTTAATGTTCTTCTGGATTGGGGATAATTTCTTAACCAGGTGCCAACTGCAGGAAAATACAGCTGCTTAATATTTTAGGAAAGCCTGGCTAAATTACAATATAATTAGGCCGGCGAGTTTCCCATACAGCAAGGAAGATGGACTGAGATGCGTTTGCACCGCAGGACAGAGAGGTGAGGCACTGGCCAAGGGGAAAACGTGTGCCATCAGTGAACACTGGGAAATACTGAAGCGGAGACCCCAACATCCTCCCCTCCCTGCAAGACTCACAGTGCTGTCAACCAGCTTTGTGAAGGGGCTGTTGGTGCTCCAGCTACACCATTTTTTCTGTAGCTGTGGTATCGGGGCCAGGAAGTCGTGGAAGGTGCGGGCGCTCCAGGTGCGCTGCCTGGGACAGGGATTCTCCAGCTGCACGTTCCCCTTCTCGGCAGCCTCTGCCCCTGCAGCCGTGGGCTGCGAGCTCAGCCAGTCGGACACAGAGGCCGGGCTGGTGACACTCCTTTTCAGGTTTTTGTCCTGAAAAGAGTAAATGAAGATCATTCGCTGGCATCTCTCATCAAAACATTTTTGAAACACTCTGAAAACAGGCTGTTAGTGCATGGGACTGATTGATTCAGTCCTCGGTGTTCTTCCAGTGTGCTGCCTAAAGCTTGCTGGCTTCCCTGGAGGAAAGTTTTACCTTGCTCCCCCAGTTTCGGGTTTAAAGCTGAAATGGGAAATTGCAGTTACATAAGATATAGTCCTACAGCCCTCACTCGATATATGAAATATCTACGGCTTAATTTACTGGAAGTATTTGACACATCAGAGTCGTAAACTTCACTGTGTAAAACAGAATTCTTCCACTCTGCTTGGCTCTTGGAAGGCTCCAGATGTGTCTGTCTGGGGAAATAAAACTTAGGGGGATGGAGCCTGCTGAAATAAATCCAGAAGCAAGCAAGAAGAGAATCGGAAATTTCAAAAATGCACAGTTTGGGGGGAAAGACTGAAGTAAGTGGTGCTCTTTATCCTATGTAAGGGAAGAATTAAAAAATAAAAAGAATGAAAAATAAAGAGAAAGGAAATAATCTATTCTCAGTGTCTGTGCTGAAGAGAACAAGAAGCACAAGAATTGGATTGGAGCCAAGGAGATTTGCATTTCACATAAAAAAGTGTTCTTCAGGTGGACAACATGCTTTAGGAGTAGAACAAGACATCCAGGTGTAAAATTGGCATCACCAGAAGGTGAGACTACATCAAACAGCTGTCACCAGCCCTGTGTATGAGCAGAGTTGATCAGACATGGGAATGAACTATAAACATCTCTTCCATACTTTATAAGTTCCATGTTGCATTTGAAATCACAATTTTTGTTCTTAATATTAATATGAGCTTAGAACCAGAAAAGTTAGAGAATCCCTGACATTCCTATGAATCTCTTTTCATTCTTACTAATACTTCACCTGTTATTTAAACCTCCTGTTACACAACTCTACATATTTTTAAATTTCAGCTGTGCAAATGTGGTTGTCATAAGAAGAATGCAAAATCCACATTCCCAAAGTGTACATAGTCCTTAAAGAGTGTCTGAAATAAATCCCACAGTGTCCTGGATTTTAAAATCCTGAGAAACCAGAAACATGTAATTTGTTATTTCTGAGAAACTGAATCTCCCAAGTTTCTGCAAATCAAAGAAACTATTTAGTAAATGTGTCATATTGAAAGTGGATGGGGAGAGAGGCAAGAAATTAGCACTAGATCAGAAAAAGAAACTCAGTAGGAAGCCAGGAGAGGCATCAGGCTCTGGATAAGTTTGTTTCAGTATTAAGCTCCTAGTCCAAGATTATATTAAAGGGACAATCTTTATTTATAAATTTTTAAGCTGGCTGTCTTCTCCTCAGTGGCCCCTTCAGACAGTCTTAGGATTTATTATTCCAATATTATTATAAATATCTCCAAACTGATGTAAATATTAGTCACTGGTTTTGAGATAGATACACTGAAAGCAACTGGGAAAATGAACAATGTATTTCCTAGACTTTTGAAAATGGCAAGAAATTTTTGTTTGTTTTGGCAAGAAATGTTTGTTAAACTTCCATGATCATACTCTTCACTCAAACGTTTTCATCTGAAACTTGCAGTGTCTGATCAGAAGTCAGACACAGAAGTCAGAGATCACAGTCATAAGTTAGCCAAAGGGTGAATGATGCCTTAAACTAAAGGGGATTTAGAAAGCCATGACTCTTCTGGAGGACACCTGGAATCTCCCTAAAAGCCATCCCACCCTCTGTTTCCTCATGCCAGTCACAGAGGGGGTTTTTTGCTCTCCTAGCTCTTCCCTCACAACACAGGACTGGTGTCTTCAAATAGGTTTTAAAAACTGCAGAGCAAAAGCCAGTTAATCTCTGGCTCAGGCCCAGCAGAGCTGAGGCTCACACTTAGTGGGCAGCACAGGACCAAGCAGACAGACACAATTTCTCAGGGAAAAGATCAAGATAATTTTTTTAATGAAAGCTCCTTACAACTTGACAAATTCTAGTCAAGCATTTTGCACGAGGTGAGTCTGCTGGCATTATTTAGTGTGCTGTGAAGGCTCGGGATTTCACACGTGTTTTCACATGGGGATAACTGCTCAGCTCCTGCCAAGGAACGGGCTGTGCTCCAGCAGAAATCTCATCCACTGCCTAGAGCTGGGCCACAAAGCCATGCTCCATCTCCTCTGTGAGGCCTGCAGGCTGGCTGGCCAGCAGCATTTCACACCCTAAAAATACACAGCTAAAAATTCAGCTGTAAACACGTCTAACATCCAGGAACCCTCAGTATCAAGTGGCCTGGTGAGAACCCGTTTGAGTGCAGGTTTGTAATTAGTTTGCTGTGCTCAATTTCCACACCCCTGGAGAGGATGAACTTCAGCTGTGGGGAAAGACCCAGGGCTTTTTAAAATGCCCTGCCATGCTTGCAGGCTTGGTTTCCTGTTCCTTGAGGAATCTGGTTGGGAATATTGCCTCACTTGTGTGCTGCATGAGCATCACTGAGGACATGCTTCCTGACTTATTATTGTGTTTAATTCTTTGGGTTACTTTCACTGTTTTAATGCTCTTTTATTTTTTTTAAGCATAAATGCTCTCTGAAGATTGATTGTAGAAGCAATGTAAGAATAGAAATGGGGGGTTTATGTGTATTTGTTCCTTCAGGCTGAAGTGGGGAAAAGGGGCAGGAAATGTTGTTCCCTCCTGCCTAGAAGCTGGATGTGTGTGGGGCTGCCACCAGGTGAAGCTCTCTGCTCTGGAAAGGACCAGGGAGTGCAGGTGTTTGTTCAAGGGTGCCCAGCCTGGCTGCAGCTCCCAGTGCCCTGCTCCACAGAAGGCAATGTTCAGGCAAGGGAAGGCTCCAGAGCTGTTTTCCCTTCTTTCCCTCTTTCTGTTCATCACAGTGGCCAGCTGCAGGAAAAGCTCAGCACGTGTCTTACACTAGTGTAAGGAAAATCCTGACCAGCCTGGCCTCCTGGCTAATTTCCTAATCAAGTGCAAGGATACAGAATGCTTTTGTTTTGTAAACTGTAACAGAAGTATTACACAGCCTGTCCTGGGCATGTGAGTTCCTTGTGCTGGTTGTTTATCCTCTTGTGGGAAAAAGAGAGAGGGCACTGGAGAAGAGAGTATTGACCTGGGAAAGGCTTGAGCAGACACTTGTAATGACTGTGCTCTGTCTGCACTCACTCAAGGCTGAAGAGGTGACAGCCAGACCTGAGGTTTCTGAGCCATCATCTGTTCCTAAACAAATAAAGGACCAGGAATCTGGGGGGAAAAGCTAAAATAAGAGAGAACCTGCTGAATCGATTCAAGTTTCTCTCTCTGAATTTGTGAGGGCCTCAGTGCTTTAATTTTAAGTACTTGATTTTTTTGGAGCCTACACTGTTAATTTTCACATCAGCTTGGCGAGACACCTTCTGCCAAGGTGAGGAGCTGAGTAACTCCCCTAATCACCTGGAGTGATGGGCAGTAGGTCTGACTCCCAGGTCTTTCAGTTGCTACAGGTGATAATTTTAATGGAACATCAGCTTTGCCAGTTAACACTTCTGTAGGTTGATCCTACTGCCTGCTGGCAAATATTCCATTATTTGCTAGCAGAGGTGAGGTAGGGCTCTGCATTTGCTCTTCCCAAAGCTGGAAAGATACTGGCTCAGGGGATCACAGTCCACATCATTTGATGGCAGCTCAGCTTGAGGGGTAGGAACTGCCTGGTTCAGTCCCTGCCTCTTTAGAAAGTGGGCATTAGGCATAAATGCACAGGTATGACGAGTGCTGTCCAAGAGGGACATCCTGCAGCTTGCTAGAGATGCTGGGGAATGTACCTGTATCCTGTAGGTGGTAAAGCTCAGCCCACTGGTCCCAGGGCCAGCAGAAATGATAAACACTTCATCACTCCCAGTCTCAGTGGTCACTGCAGAGATGGAGGAGGGCACATCTGGGTCAGTGTCCTGAGGAGACCGTTCTGTGCTGCCTCTGCAGGAAGTGACTGAGAAAGGAAGAAAATCAATAAAGACTGCTTGCAAGAGTCCAAAACATCTGTTTCCAACTCCTCCATGACAAACCTTCCAACCTTCTTCCTTCCCTCCCCAGACAATGCAGAACAGGCTTTGGCTGGCTGTTGCACCAGCCAGAACAAAATTCAAGTCAACAGTTTGCTCTTCTGAAACTGCAAGCTTTTAAAAACAAAACAAAAGAGGAGAGGAGAAACACCCTGGGTCTGCTTTCTAATAAAAACACACATGAACTGAAATTCCTTGTGTTAAACACATGAGTTTGTGCAGCAGATCAGAAACTTGCAGACTTGCTCAACTAATTTTTTTTTTTTTTAACTCATATCTGCTAATATTGGGAGCTGTAGTTTTTGGTTAAACCCCAGTGAAGCTGCTCCTATAGGCATCCTGTTGCTCCAGGGACTGCCATGGAGGGGTGTGTGTATCTGCATGTGTCCCCAGGGTCTGTCATGAGGTACAGGAAAGGAGAACTCTGGCCACAATCTCTTCAAGGAGGAGATGGGAAACTGTCGTGGCTGGGAGTACAGAAGAGTTTTTATGGAGAGACCCTTGTGAGAGCTGAGTGTGTAGTGGCTGATGGTTCACTGCTGGTGTGATGGTGTGTCACAACACAGCATAAAGTCTCTCCCTGTTGGCCTCCACTAACCAAAAGGGCCACTGGGACAGTTCATGTGTCGTGACTCAAAATTCCAGCGAGTGGCATTCTCTGCATCTTGGCTGGGATGCTTTTCCTGGAAGCACGCTGTGAGGGAATGTCACCCAAAGCACCTCCATCCATACAGACCCACAGAAACTGAGAGCTCTGGGAGCTGCAGTTGACCAAAGACAATTTGAGCATTGTAAAACCCATCTTTTCTGGACAAAGTCTGGCCCGGGGCAGGTTAAACTCTTCCCCAGTTTATGGATCTGTGTGAGTTGTTTGTAGCAGCCTGAACCCAACATTTGCTCTGCTAACCCAGTGTCTGCAATGCCATGTGCTGTGACAGCTTGTGTTGGCAGCGCGCTGGAGCTGTGCTTGTGTGAGCTCCTTGCCAGGGGAATTACCCTACCAGGGAGGGGGGAGCAGCAAGGGACAGTCCCCAAAACAAAGGCTTTCTGCTGTGGAGTAGCTCTCCAGCTGTGCAGGGTGAGACAGTGGCAGGGCTGCAGGGAAGGAAGGGTCTGATGAACCGGGCCGGGGCTCCGGGGTGCCCTGACCCGCTCCGGCCGCTGCCCCGCACTCACCCGCCTGCTCCCGGCTCACAGAGTGGTTGTTGTTTTCATTCTCCCGGCTTGGCACCACCAGCTGGAGCTCATTGATATCGACAGTGGAGTTCTGGATCCTGTTCTACAACTCAGAACATGCCCCAGTAAACATCGTCAGATAAACAGTGCAACAGCCAATATGAAAGAGAGAAACAGAAATTGCTGAAGCCATTAGCACTAACCTCCTGGTCACTGCATGCGTTGGATGAGCTCCTTTTGGGGCACGTTCTCTGCCTGAAAAGGAGAGACAGCAACAACAACAACAAGCCCTCGAGTGAGTTAAAGATCCACAGCAGGAAAGTTCTCGGCTCTGCTCATCCTGCGAGGGGAACCCAGCAGGTTATGAGCATCCAAAATACTTGCCAAGACTCAAGGCAGCAAGGCCTGTGAACAAGGGGAGAAAATTATATGCTCATGTGGTGGAAAGTCAGCTGAAGAAGAGAAGAACCTGTCATCTTCTTCCCATGCTCACTGCAAAAGCAGGAACAGAGCTCAGACCGCTGCCAAATCCCACCAGGCTCCCCCCTGACAGCTGCTCTTTCACATCAGTAACTGAATAGCAGGACTGGGATCCTTCAGTCTGGGCAGTGACATCCTTCTTATCCTGCTAGACAGAATATTTCATCTGCATAGCTAATTCTGCATACTGGGTTATATTTAGCAAGCAGAGAGCATCAGATGCTGTTCATTTGTATGACTGTTTCACTAAAAGGCAGCACTGTGGCAGATGATGATGGGATGAACGTGCCCCTTGGCTGAAGGGAGACACATGCATGTTCTTAGCCAGTTTTTTCACTTTTTTATTAAAACTGAGGTTATGAAACAACTAGTGTTACAAATTTTTGGATGAACAAGATTTAAAGATATCACAAAGAAAGGCTGGCACTGGTGAATGTGGTAATGACTGAAACAAGTGTAGTCTGTGCCCAATGGTTCTCCAGGGGACAGTGCAGACACAGGAGAGCATTAGGCACTGACTGATGGGGATGCAACCCAGGTTATTGCAAAGGCAAATTCTCACCCCCAGGTGATGGATGGGCAGCAGGCAGTGACTGGCAGGGCAGCTTGGGTGGGAGAGATGGCAACACTGAAGGCTTGATGGAGTCACTGAACACTCAAGGGTTGGGAGGCTATGCAGATGTAAAGTGCAGTTGCAATTCATGAGTTGCAACCATACAGCAAAAGTTTGACTGCATGGGACAGGACTAAAATTAAATAAGGTGGACGTATCTGTTGTTCTTGGGGCTTGGGAAAGAAAATAAAAAATCCCCCATTACTCGAGCCAGGCTTCATGGCCAAAAGTAATTAGAATTATTGGCCAACTAACAACTGAAGCTTTCATTCCCTCCCCAAGTAGCAAACAAAAGCTGCAGTGTGGCAGAGACTTGGAGTTTCCCCAGAGAGCTTTGCCCTGCTCAATGCAATGAGCCTGAGCAGATACTGCTGATGACTTGGTGCACTGGAGTGGCAGTGGGTGCCAAGCACATCCCAGGCCATTTCTACTCCTGGCAAGGCAGAGCCTGCTACTTTTAGCTGAGCAAGAGCAGCAGATAGAAATGGAAAAAAAAAAAAAAATCATCAGCTAAACCTGGTACCAGAGGAATAAATAAAGTATGAAGAGAAAAGAAAGTGGAAGGCAAGTTTACAAGGCCAAGAGCTTCCATGTTCCCCTTGGCATCCTCTGCAGTGCCCAGTCCAGCCAGGACAGTGTCCCTGTGCCTCAGGGAGCTGGTCCCAGTTCTGAGTGTGCTGCACTGGTAAAACACCATCATTTCCCCCCTCATCCCACCCTGTGCCACCCTGACATTTTCTGCAGTGAGGACAGACTGTGGCTAATACACATTTAACACCTGATTTCAAGCCCCTGTTTAGGACAAGAAGCATAAAATAGAGCTTGATGGGCTCAATCTAAAAGAAGTTTAATGCTTAGTGCTTAGAGGCCTCAGCAGTCTTATTCTGAGCTGCATTAAAAACCCACAGCTGTGAGGTAGGCAAGCTCCAAGCAGTGTCAGAGGTTTTGGGGCCAGAGACCAATACCCTCAAAGCAGTTACCACAGTCAAGAGGGAGAAAAGACTCTCCCAGTGCAACACAGGTGAGGTAACTCAACACAGGTCATGGCATCACTTCCACCTGGTCTCACTTAAAAGCTATATAAGTCTCACACAAAATAAAGTGGAGTAATCAAGGCTTCCCAGGAGCAGTATGCAGGAATTCAGGAGGCTGGGATAGCAAAGACCCTGTCAAGAGGCTAAAGGAGCAGGGGTGGTCTCTATTTACATTCAGTCAATAGATGGCTGAGTTATAGATATCTTCTTAAAAAAAAAGAATTGTAGAGCAATGAAGAGGCATAAATACCAGTGTTAGAAGAAGCAAGCCTAATCCTGTGCCATAGGACCCCTGGTAGGATGTATTCCCAGCAACCAGAACACACAAACATTGGTGTGTGGGGCTGAAATCCTGTGGACTTTTTTTTTTCTGTTGGTCAGGAAGAGCAGAACATTATTTTGTAAACATCTGACAAGCAAAAAGCCAAACTGTGACTGTGAGCAGCATGGCCTGACTTTCTAAACAGGCTTTGCAGAGGAAATCTCAGCCAGTGGAGCCTCAGATTGCCGGTGTACTTTTTGGGTTGAATAATACTCTGCTTCATGGATCGTTACAGTGAAATTAAATAGGGGTATTGGAGCAAGAACAGCCTACTCAACATGTGTATCAGCCCAGACTGCTGCCATAGCAAAGGGAGCCTGTTTCTGTCTCTTTTGAAGATTGGCAAGGGTAGAAAAATAAAGTATTTGGTATCTGGAAGACATTTTCCACCAGACTTTTTCCCTTAGAGCTAGCAAAAAACTGTGGTCTAAATTAGTGTTCTGCGAGCTCTTTAAAAACAAAAAGGTTAGTTAGATGTAGCACATGCAAGTTTAACTCTTACAGCTACAAAAAGCTCAGACCCTGAAAGCAGGAATTTCTATATAAACAGCAACAGAGAGGATATTTAACTTCCCCACTGTGCCCATGTTCTCTGGTGCCCAGTGTGACTGGCCTGCATTTCGTGTTTATTCAGCCAGAGTTAAATGCAGCCCCCATAAGGACAAGGAAAACCAAGCCCCAGTGGTGAGGGGTGTCTGGGCAATCCCGAGATCTCTGGGGTTGGAGGATGCAGGAAGGGAGAAACCAGAGCAGCTGCATGATGAACACTCCTGCCAATACCCTGCCACCAGAGTGAGCCCTGCAAGGGTTTGTTTCAGTTTACCTGATGTTTTCATTGAAGTCAAAACATTTGAAAAATGGTGTTTATTTTGCCAAAAACCTGGGGAGCATAGGCTCTGTTTTGTATTTGTTGGAAGGGAGAGAAATAAATCACTGTTTCTGCAAAAATGTTTTCACTAGGGAGTTAGAAAAATGCAAACATATGCTGGGGGGCGGAGAAGTGTTCCTTGGATAGATACAGAGAAAATAAATATATAAAAGAAAAGTAATCGACTAGAGAGGCATGCTTGTGTAACTGTTTGGTTTTAGCCATTTAACTAGTTAGCATCAGGACCTGGAAATCCACAACCCAGCCTGACCATCTGCTCATTTGACTGGATCGTTTTGGACTGCATTTGGGAACAATGAGAGGTACTGCAGCATGGCTCTGGGCTCTTCCCCAGCATCAAAGGGATGTGCAGATGACTTCTTAACACACTGAATGCATTGGATTTAAAATTTCTGCACAGTCTCTTGGATAAAATATGCTACAGATGGGAAAATATTTTTAAATCTTAATTTGATGTGGTAATACTTTGGTTATTATTTACTTTTCTGCAGAGTGCTAGTGATGGTTAGTTAGAGCCAAACTGTGGGATTTCTGTGAAAAGATGCAGTGACTGTCAGCTCAACCCGCTCAAGAGACTCAGGGAAGGATGATCTTTCTGTGCTGATTTTGTCCAAAAGCTGAGGTTCAAAGGCACCACTGCCATTAAAACAAAAGATGCCCAGGAAAGTCCTGACTGTTCAGGTATTTCTGCAGGAAACAGAAAATAAATCTGAGATACAGGAGCTGGAGAAGTAGGGAAGAAAACTGAGGAGCCTGGGGCAGGAACAGTGAGTGGCATTGACCTCCTCTGTACCCACTTTACCACATGCGGAGGACAGCAGGAGTTAGCAGAGCAAAGGAAATGTAACTCTTTTCTGGAAATGTAACTCTTTTCTGGAAATGTAACTCTTTTCTGGAAATGTAACTCTTTTCTGGTCTTTTCCCTATGGATAATATCACATGCGTCCAAGGCTCTGGTGTGCATCACCTTACCTGCAAGCTACACAGAGGGCAGAGAGCAAAACAAGAGCAAAGACAACGATCCCTGTTAGAATTGCCAGCATCATCATGTTTTCCTTCCTGTCCTGCCTCACAGCATCCACAGCGTTGGGGTCAGTGATGTTCCTGTACTCGAAGAGCATCGCAAAGCCTCGGCCCCGGTCCGTGGTGGTGATCAGCTCCATGATAACCTCAACCATTTCCACAGATGAACCAAAGACCATGGTCTTGTTTACAGGGGAATTTGGGCCACAGAAGCGAGAGGAAAATGTGATGAGATCAGAAACATACAACACATCATGGGGACAGACATCCACTGCTGACTGAGGGCTGGAGGAGACTTCCATGGGCAATGCTGTTGAGGGAAGGGTCCAGCTCTCTACTGTGGCTTCATCTCTCACACCAGCAGCTAGGTGGGCAAGCAACATCTTCCCTTCCAAATCCTCTCCTGTTCCCAGGCCACTGGTATTTTGCCTTTGCACTGGGGCACTGCCAGCCACAGGGAATGGCAGCTCCTCTGGCTGAGCCTTGGTAATCCCTTTGGGTTCCTTCATCTGCTTCCACTGGTTTTCTTCAGATGCTTGTTTGGCTTCATCTTTTTTTGAGATGGCTCCTGGAAGTTCATCCAGGTGACCAGCAAGGTCCTTTGACTGGTCTCTGGTGCTGCTCAGGTTCTGAGCCACCTTCAATGTTGAGGTCTGGAGAGAGGGTTTTGTGGTGTGGGCAGCAAAGTCCAGGTTTTCCTCAAGAGAAGGCATGTCCTTATTTTCTGTTGTAGCAGGGGCTG